TCGATATCAGAAGAGGTGAATCGAGGGACTTCTGTAGGAAACATAGCCAAGGATCTAAACCTAGATGTCCATGAGCTGGAGTCTCGCATGTTTCAGATCGTTAGCGGATCAAAGAGAAAATATTTCGAGGTAAATCTAAAGACGGGCGTTCTCTTTGTCAGTGATAGGATAGACAGAGAGGAGCTCTGTGGAAAGGCCACGAAATGCACACAGAGCGTGGAGGCTGTGATAAATGCCCCACTCAAGCTATATCGCTTAGAAATAAATATTCTAGATGTTAATGATAATTATCCAGCTTTCAGTACTGACTCGCAAAGTATTGAAATAGCAGAAAGCACATTACCCGGGACTAAATTCCTTGTATTGTCAGCCTTTGATTCCGATGTGGGGAAAAATGGCATCAGTATGTACAAATTAAGTGCAAATGAACACTTTTCATTAGCAGTGAATAAAGGAGAGAGCGTATCTGCTGAACTAGTCCTCCAGAAACCTTTAGACCGAGAAAAACAATCAGTAATAAGACTCACGCTGACTGCTGTAGACGGCGGAACACCACCGAAATCCGGAACCTCACAGTTAATAATCAATGTCTTAGACAATAATGATAACGTCCCAATATTTACCAAACCACTGTATAAAACAAGTGTCACTGAAAACACGCCGCCAGGCACATCAGTGATAACTGTGACGGCGACGGACAGTGATGAAGGGCCAAACGGGGAGATTTCATATTCACTAAGCAGCAAGGACCAAGACCATGTTCTCAATATATTTCAAATTGATGAGCACACGGGATTATTGACAGTTAAGGGGACGATTGACTTTGAAGAGCACCCGGCTTTTGAAATCCGCGTGCAAGCTTCTGATAAAGGCTCTCCTCAAATGACAGCACAGTGCAAAGTATTAATAGAAGTAGTGGATTTAAATGACAATAGCCCTGAAATATCTGTAACCACCCTCAGTAACACTGTAAAAGAGGATGCAAAAATAGGTACTGCTATTGCACTTGTGTCAGTCGTGGACAGAGATGGGGGTAAAAACGGGATAGTCCACTGTGATATTAAAAGTGAAAGCCCCTTTAAGTTACAAACAAATTATAAAAATTACTACTCCTTGGTAGTAGATGGTCAGCTAGACAGAGAGAGTCATGCTCAATATAATATCACTATCACAGCTAAAGACGATGGAATCCCAGCTCTCACAAGTACGAAGGATTTGAATGTTTATGTTTCAGATGTCAATGACAACCCCCCTAAGTTTTCAGACACTGTGTTCAATGTGTATTTAAAAGAAAACAGTCCACTGGGAGCTACTCTGCAACGAGTATCTGCACTGGATGTAGACATTGATCAAAATGGACAGGTAAGCTATTCCATTGTTGAGAGTAAAAGTAACTCCTTGCCAATCTCGACAATGGTAAATGTAAACTCTAAGACTGGAGATATAATCAGTCTGCAGTCTTTTAACTACGAGGAATTAAAAACTTTCCAGTTTGAAGTTCAGGCCACAGACTCTGGTGTTCCTCCGCTCAGCAGCAACGTGACTGTTAACGTTTTAATCCTGGATGAAAATGACAACAGTCCCACGATTCTCACGCCCTATTCTGAGCATGGCTCCGTTAACAGTGAGAGCATCCCCTATTCTGCTGAAGCGGGATACTTTGTGGCAAAGATCAGGGCTGTAGACGCAGACTCTGGATACAATGCGCTGCTCTCTTATCACCTGTCTGAGCCCAAAGGAAACAACCTGTTCAGGATCGGAACCAGCACCGGGGAAATCAGGACTAAGAGGAGATTGAGTGACAATGACATCAAAACTCACCCCTTGGTGGTCTTGGTCTCTGATAACGGAGAACCCTCCCTGTCAGCTACTGTGTCTATTGATGTGGTGGTGGTTGAAAGCACGGCTGAAATCCAGACTCAGTTCAGACATGTGCCTGTAAAGGAGGACAGCTTCTCTGATTTGAACCTGTATCTGCTGATCGCCATTGTGTCGGTGTCCGTCATCTTTCTGCTCAGCCTCATCACTTTAATAGCAGTCAGATGCCACAGGACAGACGGCACTTTCAGCAGGTACAGCGCCCCCATGATCACCACCCACCCTGACGGGAGCTGGTCTTACTCTAAAGCTACTCAGCAGTATGACGTGTGTTTCAGCTCAGACACGCTCAAGAGTGACGTAGTAGTTTTCCCCGCCCCGTTTCCACCTGTAGATGGAGAACTGATCAGTATTAACGGAGGAGACACTTTTACCAGGACTCAGACTTTACCTAACAAAGAGAAGGTGAGTCCATAAAATCTACAGATCTCTTTTCTTGGTCCTGATTGCATCAGTTTCCATAGCGTGATGCTTTTCAGTTACTGTTTTTAACAGAAAATATTTAACAACTGACATAGGAGTGGTCTTGACTGTTTCATTATTTTTTTAATCACTGTTGTTAGAAATTCTGTACCTTTAAATTCGTTTGTGCAACAGAAATGTGTGGAATATCATACCTTTGCTCCATTATTTTGTCTGATTTTATATTTTACTATTCATTTTTCTTTAGCTACTTTCCTTTAACTACACAGCATGTAGTCTCTTCCATCCAGATGAAAAGTCAAACGGTGCTCTCCGTGGTCCTGAAATGACAACTAGTTTAGTTTTGCGATCATCTCATTGATTGAGCATCTGGGCTTTCACTGGGTTGTCTCTTTGTAAGCTGTAATGCACTCTTAAATATCTTTGTATCACAGAAAGAAAAATTATATCAATTTTGTTATTTTTCATGAGCCAGTAGGTGTGGATAATCACAGTCACCACAAGGAGACGGTATAGACCGTAACACGACAGCTTCCGTTTTGTGTTTAACGCTCCTCCCAGAGACAGTCCACACGGTGTTGTAACAAAGAGAGTAGTAGGTGTGGGTACATTGCGACAGCCACCCGTCTGGTCTGAAAATTGGTGGTATATGTACTACATTTGTTCGATTTTTTTATAGGAATTTCAAATTCGAATTTATGCCGTGTTGTGCTGAACGGAAATATGCCTTTATCGTGTCGCAACTGCTTTTCGTTGATATACTTAATACTTCTGATACTGGATTATTGTTGTAATGAAGCGTCTGGGCAGCTCTCTTACTCCGTCTCAGAGGAGGTAAACTCGGGAACAGTTGTTGGAAATATCGCCAAGGATTTACATTTAAACATACCGGATTTGGAGACCCGTATGTTCAGGATTGTTGGAGGATCTAAAAGAAAATATTTCGAGGTACATACGAAGACTGGAGTCCTCTACGTGAATGAGAGAATAGACAGAGAGAAGCTCTGCGGGAAAGCTGTGAGATGTGCCGTAACTGTCGAGGCTGTGATAAACGAACCTTTAATGCTGTATCGTATAGAGATTAATATTCTTGATGTCAATGACAATTTTCCGCATTTCATTGCAAAATCACAGAATATAGACATTCCCGAAAGCACATTACCCGGGATAAAATTCCCCCTACTGCAGGCCTACGATGCAGATGTTGGAAAGAACGGCATCAACACATACAGGCTGAGCTCGAATGAACATTTTTCATTAGCAATAAGCAAATCAGGAGAGAGTATTTCGACTGAGTTAATGTTACAGAAAGTCTTAGACAGAGAAAAGGAACCTCTGATTAAGCTCACGTTAACAGCTTTAGATGATGGAAGTCCACCGAAGTCTGGAACATCAGATATTATGATTAATGTTTTAGACATTAATGATAACACACCAGTGTTTGCAAAGTCGCTGTATAAAGTGCGTGTGTTTGAAAACGTACCGATAGGCACTACAGTCCTGACTTTAAATGCTACAGATGCAGATGAAGGAACAAACAAAGAAATCATATATACACTTAGCACAAAGGAGCAGGACCACGTGCTGCAGATTTTTAAAATCGATCCGAACACGGGCACACTGACGGTGGAAGGAAATGTGGATTTTGAGGAACACCCCGTCTTTGAGATTCGTGCACAGGCCAGTGATAAAGGCCAACCTCCGATGTCCGCTCACTGTAAGGTGCTGGTTGAAGTGTTGGACCTAAACGACAATGCGCCTGAGATTTTTGTGACGTCACTACTGAATACTGTGAAGGAGGATGCAAAAGTAGGCACCGCTGTTGCACTTGTTTCGGTGGTAGACAAAGATGGCGGTAAGAACGGTGAAGTGCATTGTACTGTAGATGACGATGCTCCCTTTAAATTGGAAGCAAACTATAAAAATTATTACTCATTGATAGTGGTTGCTCCCCTAGACCGAGAGACGGTCTCTAGCTACGACGTCACTATAATAGCAAGCGATGGCGGTAGTCCCCCGCTCTCAAGCACCAGTATTGTCCCTATTCAAGTTTCTGATGTTAATGATAACGCGCCTCAGTTCTCATCATCGATACTTAACATTTATGTTAAAGAAAACTGCCACGTGGGGACAATTCTTAAAACGGTAACCGCCTTTGATGCAGATATGAACAAAAATGGTGAAGTGACTTACGGTTTTATGGAAAGCAAAATTAACTCAGTCGCACTGTCTACATT